AGGCCACTATTTCTATAGAATATGTGAGATCAGTGTAACAGTTCGTCAGAACTTGGGTGTTACCTTTCCTAAAGTCATGTGTCAGCAACCAACTGGTTTAGTGTGTTGTTATAACAAATGGCCTTTTGTAATGGAGTTGATTAGCTAGCTAAAGGATATGCATATATAACCGTGGGGCTTATTCACTAAACTAAACAGTGAGCTGGCATTGAGTTAATCTTTCCTATATTTCAACGCTCTTTAATTTTGTTTGTGTAATTACAGCCATTCAGGTGGCTGAGCATGATAGGCATTGCCATTCATTTACCTGATAAAAACCATATACAGTACTGCAGAAATGAATTGTTTTCATGTAGCATTGGTAATATTCATTCACTAGAGTGTGAATTTAAAGTGACCACAGTAGCACAACTGGAAACATTGTCCATGTCAGCTGTGTTCCAGGTTGGCAACTGAGGCCTTAAATTTGAAAAGCACTTTGAATTCATGAGCGCTTGCAAAACTGTCTACAAGCTTGTTAAAGGGCAATCTCTCTGCTCAGTGTGCCTGTGCAACAATGCTATGATAAGTTTTGCCTACAACCATCCTGTACAAGTAGAGAGCCCTCTGTATGTATTATTTTATGTTAACACATGTACTTTGTAACAGCTTTACCGGTGAGTTAATTTTGTTAAAATATAAATGTGACTATTCAATTAAGTAGGGATTGTATAAATGTGGCTCTTTGCAATAGTAGGAATTGTGAAAAATTGTGAAGAAAATTGAAAAAGCATAGCCCCAAATATTTGACATGAAAAATGTTTGTTGACTGCCCCCTTTCTATTCCCCCTCCCCCAAATCAGCTGATTTTATCTATAATTTTGCAATGCCCTTCTGAGTTGTCCATTGATCACTTTATTTTGTTATGAATAACTCCAAAAGTATGCCCAGAATATACTTAAAAACGAGAGAAATCTTAATGTATCCTTCCGGCTAAAATATTTTTAAAAATAAATAAATCTGAGTAGTATTTATTTGAAACTTTGCATAGTAAGTGCAAAAAGTTAGGGAAGAAACTGCAATTTCATATGTAGATTTCTGAATATTGATATTGATGTGCACATTAAAATTATGTATTTAATGTAAATATAATTGATCAAATATTTTGCCTCGGCGTTATGATACTAAATAGGATTTATGTGAATATCAGTTTCCAAAATGACAACAGAGCAAAAATGTAATTATATGTTGGCTTGATTAGTAAATTTGGTTGCCTGGTTAAGACCAGACATCTGTAGTTGAAATTGCTTTACAATCTGCTGCAACAGCTACTACTTCCTCATGTACTACTGTGGACTGATTAGTTTACAGATGTGTACCAAAACATCAATATTTTATGCATATAGCACATCAGACAAGAGAAAAGATTGCTTTAATCTACAAGAATACAGTTCAGAGCAGATTGCAGTTGAAATAGTTTTACATAATAAAGAATGGGTTATACATGAATGCAGGTATGAAATGCTGGACCCTTCACCCAAATGAATGACTCCCTCCTGGATCTCTTGTGTTCTTTGTGTTCAATATACATTAAATATCAACCTAAATGCCTTATAGATAAAACAACTATTCTATTGATACAGCATTTCTATTTGAAGACCAATATTCTAATATAGAGACATAGGACTGGATACCAATTTTCCCTTTAAAACTTGGAGGTATTGCTATTGAGAAAGTAGAGTAAATCCTTCCTCTGTTCAGAAAAAAACAAAACCGCTTTTAGACGTTTAAGCTAATTTTCTTCTTCATCTATTTGTTCCACAGAGATTCCATAATAGAAAATCACTTGTTTTTTTTTTGCTATCACCATCTTAATATAATTGAAGATAACATGTACCCAAAGACTTAAGAAAAAAATTATATAAAAATTCTATGCAGAGATTGATGGGAATGTCACTCCCACGCAGCAGATGCATTTTGCGTTAGTTCTCTATTTCTCACAACTTCTATGTGGGAGTGTGAATCACATTAATCTCAGGCAGACTGGGAAATGTATGTACTAGTGCTGTAATATGATTGTCAGGACCCCCAACACCGTGTTGTGTTTCACTTTGGCGTTTATTCCTTAAACAGCAAACTGTGGTGAATTAAAAAACAAATGACAAAATATAGACCAAAATTGCTGATTTAAATAACTTCTCCAAAGCAGGTATACTTTCATCTTGGCTGTGTGATAATTGTGATAAAATCCAATTAACTAATTAGGCATGATTGATTGATCACTAATGAGCAAATTAATCTATAATAGATAGTTAAGATGGCACTTGGCTTAAACTGTGTCGCACTAAGAAATTCAACCTGTGTCGCACTAAGAAATTCAACCTGTGTCGCACTAAGAAATTCAACTAAGATAACAATGCATAGAATATTCCATAACATGTCTGGCCAATATCCAAAAAGGCCCTTGTGCTGAAAAGAGGGATTTGGTGCCAACAATGTATAGAAAGATAAGAGTAGGGACATAGATAGAATAAGATACCGCATGTGTCTGGCATGAGCCTTGGGTGGTCACGACTGGCCTGATCAACCATACTGATTACTTAATGCCCATGACAAGATACATGCTGGGCTGCACTGATAAGAAATCTTGGAAAAGTTACAAACTTGATAAAAAGTATAAAAGACGGAGAAACTTGGCACTCACTTGGAGAACTACCCACCTGTAATGCGGACGCGTGTTGCTGGTCTCTGCTGTTCCCAGAGAGGGTCCCTCCAAGCCGACTGCCAGAGTTCTCCCCAGTCAAATGCAGAGGACACAAGCCCCTCTAACGGTGATGTATACTTAAGCTGATCTATCCGGATGCTAAGCTGTTTTGAAGTGAACGCATGCAACTACTTAAGGAGCTTACTCTGTATTGGGTCTCCTTGTGGACAATAAAGTGTGGTGTGAATTCTTATCTGCAACTTGGTCTCTGTGTGGTTTCTTTTTCCTATAGCCCAAGACACTCATCTCGAACTGGGTTGTGTGCCCGCCAATATCGCTATAAACCTTATTAGGTAATTGATTATTACTTTTTGGATATTGGTGCTTCATGAATTTAATGATTAGGCACAACAGGCTGTTTTTGCCTATATTTTTCAAAATGGTTTTCAAGTCATCACTTTTGCCATTGGTCGTTTTACTGTTCAGTAAGCAAATGGCAATACAGTTTTTATTGCGCTGTGTGACAGCATACCATGCAGGACAGGGTTTGAAAATATGATCTTTTCTTTTAAATAACAGACAGATCATATAATACATATAGAAGGCACATACTGCTAAAATCTGTATTATAGAAAATAATGCTCTGAGGCTTTCTGGAGCCAACATGCAACGAGAGAGTAAACATCAAGATGGTCACTGACACTCCCTGACTTTGTCCTTATCACTTCCCATCTCAATTATTTATCTACTGATCCTGAAGAAAGTCCTAGATAGAGACTGAAACGTCGATCTACTGGATTTTAAACTTTATGTTTGATTAAAGATTAGACTATTGTTAAAGTCAGTGAGTGCTACCAATTCTTAAAGGAATATGTATATAAAACCATTATGACATTTTTGTAATTAAATAGCATGATTTTGCTATTACATGACGGAAAGTCATGATTTTATTAAAGACACGGAGGCTCATATTGCATATCCCTTTCTTTACTGTTCACCAATAGCAGCAAAGTATACAAACAGAATGAAAAAACAATGAACATACAGTAGCATAGGCCCCTCCCTGCACAGGTCCCAGTATAATAGGCAGCACTTCCCTTCCATTTCCCTCTTTCTGAATATGCAAAACTATACACAAAGTCCATAACAGGAACAGCAATATAGTCCAAAGAGAAGCCAAAAGACGTATAAACTGCAAGCCAAGAGGAGGATCATCACGTCAATAAACAGGGAAGTATAACTGGATAACTTCCAACTAAACTTCATTCGCAGGGAAGGATCCATACATGTTGAAGCCAGACACTCCGCAGGATCGGTTTAGGCTGTGAAAACATAAAGAACAGGAGCCCAGGGGTTAAACCAGTACTTGAGACTAACATCAAGGCCAGACAGTGCAATATCTGAAGTGGAAGAACCAGATAGACCCAAACTGACATAGTTACATAGTCAAATCCCATCCAACACAGGCCCCACTTACCGTACCAAGCAAGATAATACCTGTCACCTATACAGTGAAATAACTGGGGGGGAAAGCAAGCTAAACATAACATGGGTAGTCAAAATGGGTGTGACAATACTCACCTCTGTGTCTTTAATAAAATCATGACTTTTCGTCATGTAATAGCAAAATCATGCAATTTTATCACAAGACATGGAGGCTCATATTGCAAGTTTGAAGCCTATCGACCACTGCCTCAAACGTATGAGGAACCGGTCTAAAGTAAAATTCCCAGAAAACCGATTCCCTCGACCAGTCAGCCATCTTCATGAGATCCTCCAGGCGTGCACCTGAAGCCATCATTGAAGATGCCGAGGCTCCCTTGATAGAGTGGGCGCCAAAAAGTGCAGGATCAATACTGGCTTGAGAGAGTAGCCATTTAACCCAGCGAGACAAGGTGGTGCTAGTGACGGGGTTAAACGGATGACGGATAGATAAAAATAGATGGGGAGAGGATGCAAAACGGTGTAGTTTGGTGCGATCTTCATATTCGCGTAGGCAGGCCACCGGACACAGCGCCGGTGTAGAGGGGAAACTCGGATAAGATATTGACTTAACAGACATTTTGGTGCGTCTGCTGATAATAAATGTGACACCATCAGGGGTATAAGATCTGGCATCAAAGTCCAGTGCACGGACATCAAAGACCCTTTTGCAGGAGATGAGACAAAACAAACAGACCAACTTGGCTGATAGCTGTCGTAGGGAGAGAGCGGAATTAGTGGGCCAAGAAGTGAGGAAGGATAATACCACCGATACATCCCAGGTTGCGGTGTAGTGCGGCCTGGGCGGTCGAGATAGGTGAGAACCTTTGAGGAGCTGACACACAAGGGGGTGCTGGCATGCCGGGCAGCCATCGAACCCTTGATGCATCGAGGAAATGGCTGACCGAAATAGGTTGATGGTCCTGTAGGCCTTACCTGCTTCAAAGAGGGAAGTCAGGAATTGTAGGACCGTAGTTACAGCGGCTGAAATGGGATCCATGTCCCTAGCCAGGCACCAGCCAGCCCAAGCTCGCCAAGCTGACCCATATGCCCGTCTAGTGCCGGAAGCCCATGCCTCCGCCAGTAGTGTCCGAAACTCCCTGGACATCCCAGGGTCCCCTGAAATCCGCCACGCCTGGAGCGGGAGGGAACCTTCCAACAGGAGGGGGTTATAACACCCCAATGGGTCCAGTAGAAGTTCCTGGGAGGATGGCAACAGCCTGGGATAATCTACTGTCAACCCGAGAAGCTGGGGAAACCACGATTGCGTTTCCCAGAATGGGGTCTCTAGGACCAGCTCGGCTAGGTGTCTGTAGGAGTAAACAAGGGTGCAAGGGGTCATGGAGAACGGGGGGGAGGCATTTAGGAGGCCTCCGCTCCAGTCCCGTAGGAAGGCGTCCACTGCCCCGCCGCCAGGTCCGGCCGCCAGCTGAAGAACCGTGGGAGCTGGGTGTTGAGCCGGGACGCGAATAGATCTATAGCAAAAGGGCCCCAGATAGACGATAAACTGGAGAACACGTTCGTGTCCAATTTCCAGTCGTTGGCGTCTGATAGATATCGTGAACCCCAGTCCGCCTGGATGTTGTGTAGTCCTGGTTGGTACTCCGCTTGGACCACCAGGTTCCGGTCTAAGCAAAAGTCCCAAAAGTCTTTCGCCAATCTGGCCAGAACCGCAGACTGAGTACCGCCCAAGTGGTTGACATACCTCACCGCAGTGACATTGTCCATGCGGAGGCGGATGCATGTATGAGCCCGGTCCCTCGCGAAGCTGCGGATCGCGAAGGAGCCCACCAAGAGTTCCAATGCATTGATGTGGAGTCGGGATTCAGATCCCAACTAGCGACCCCCTGTCGCCACACCCTCGCAATGAGCCCCCCAGCCATGGAGGCTCGCATCTGAGTCGATGGTGAACTCCGGCATGGAGCTGAAAATTGCCCTGCCGTTCCAAGATGATAGGTTGAGGATCCACCATCGAAGCTCGTCCTTCGTCTCGCTGCCCAGCGCCATGAGGTCCGAGTAGGACGCGCCGGCTTTCAGGCATTGCAGTGCGCAGTAATGGAGCGGACCCGGGAACACAGCCTGAATAGAGGATGCGAGGGGGTCAATGAGGCGTTCCAGTTGCCTCAAGGTGAGGTGTGGCCGTATGAGTGCTCTGCGGAGCTCCTTGCGTATTTAACGAGTCTTGGACTTCGGAAGGCTCAGAGTGGCGGCTTTCGTATCCACTAGGATTCCCAAGAATTCCATATGAGTGGCGGGAGTCAGGCACGAATTTTCCTGGTTTATGATGAAACCCAGGCGGGAGAGTAGTTTCATCGCCAGCTGCAGGTGCGCCAGAAGTATGGAGCGATCCTGGGCCATGAGCAGGATGTCATCTAAGTATATAATTAGATGAATGCCTCGACTGCGTAGCCAGGCCATAGGTGGGCGCAGCAATTTTGTGAAGCACCATGGTGCCGATGACAGGCCAAAAGGAAGGCAGATGAACCTCCAAGTCCCTGTCCGCCAACAGAAACGCAGGAAATCTCGGGATGCTTCAGCTATAGGCACGGTGAGATACGCATCCTTGAGATCCAGCTTTACCAACCAGTCCCCTGGAAGGACAAGGTCTCACAATAGATGGATACCCTCCATCTTGAAATGGCGGTACCTCACCATAGAGCGGGCGCAGGTTTATGACTGGGCGCATTTGGCCCCCCTTCTTTTCCACTAGAAAAATATTGCTTACGACTCCTGTGGAGTTATCTGTGCCCAGGCTGGGAAAAAATGTTGGAGTCTGCCCCCTACATAAACATGAGAAGAAGCATGTGGTATGGGTAAACTCACCATAAGGTCGTCTGGAACCGGTGTTATCCCGGAAGCCTCTGGATCGCCACGGGCGTCCACATGACAGGAAGAATGGGGAGCGGGTACTTGTCTCCTGGAAGTTGGAGCTGAAAGGAGCCTCGTCCCGAGCCACGGGACTGAAAATAAGACCGGCCGGACAGACGGCTCCTGGATCTGCCGGCCCTGGTGGAGACCCAACCCTGGAATACACGTCTCATGGAGGCTTGGGCCTTGTCAAGGGCTGTAAACGCTCCCACAAAGAGTCTCAGGTCTTTAATTATGGAGTCGCCAAAAAGTAAACCTTGGGTGTCCTTCCCAGCCTCTGTGAGGGCAAGGTTGGCCAATTTAGGCTCTATTTTGAATAAAATGGCTTTATGCCGTTCAATAGAGAGGGAGGTATTGACACTCCCGGCAATACAAATAGCCCTTTAGACCCAACCATGGAGGTCTTCGGGGTCAACCATATGGTTTCTGGCTCTGGCATCCTCCACCAGTTCAAAAAGTTTTGCCAGTGGGCCAAATATGTCCAGGTGCTTATCCTGACATGCTTTTAGGGCAGAGTCTAGACCTTTACGTGGGTTCCAGACCAAATTTGCCAGGAACTGGGTCATTTTTGGGTCAACCTCAGGGGTATCGCAGACCTTATTGGGCACCATAGGCCTCGGGCACTCAGCCTTCAATTTATTACGTGCCGCTTTAGTGAGCAGGCGTCGTACCCAATTTTCGAGGTACTTGGATACATGGTCCGCCGGGAGCCACTCCGCCGACCTCGGATGGTGTAGCTCATCCGCCGACTTCGGATGGTGTAACTCATGAGCAGAGGGAAGGAGGTCAAGGCCCAGCTCAGCGGAATCAACGTCGGAGTCATCATCCGATTCAATCATAGCCTCCTCACCAGACCCGATTTCTGAGTCGGAGTTACTCTCAGGTTGTGCTCTGGCACATTTCCAAAGCTGCGCCCGTTCTGCCTGGCGTGGAAAGGCTCTTTTGCGTGTGTGGAGCACGCTTTCTGGGGCAACCGAAGATACGCCAGTCTTAGTAGTTCTGGAGGCAGAGGGATGTTTGGTTTTATGGGTTGCCTTCTTGGGCGCGTCCCCAGGTGGGTCCACAGCAGGACGCGAGAGAGGCGTCGTGGAACCAGACATTTGCGCGTCCAAAGAACGTGGCAGAAGGGCATGGGAGATAGTATGGGAGAGGGTAGAGGACATGGATCCCATGGCTGCTATAATGGCATCTGTCATAGAGCGCTGTAGCGCTGAGAATTGGTCCCCTGCCGGGTGGATGGGCCTGTCTGTCAGAGTGGTATGTCTGAGGTGACAGGGGCCCCTTCATGAATAGTGGAGAATCTATCTCCCCAGAGGGTGGAGAGCTGGAAGGCATCCTGGGTTTGGTCATAATGAAAGATGCACAATATCCCTATTACCTAAGACTATAGAGTAAGTAAGGGTTAGTCACCCAAACTATAAGAGCAGTGAACAAAAGAGATCTCACCAGGGCCCAGACCAGTGACACACACAACGAGGTCGGAAGAGAGACAGGAAATCAGAAAATGGCCGCCGAGAATCTCACGAGATTCGCGGCAAAAAACCTGAGAATTCGTCAAGAAAACAGCCGAATTCGTGTGAATAGAACAAGTGAATGGAGAAACATATGAATGAGCAAGAACAAGAATGATGCTATATGCCGGTAAAACGAACGAATGCGTGATGAATTTAGCCGAATGGCGAAATTCGTGCACCAAAACAGCCGAACAGAACGGAGAAAAACGAGGTGCAAATGGCGTCAAAGTACAGGGAGAGACAGAGAAGTGCATAAGAGACTGAAAGGGGATAAGAGCAAACAGAGAAAATCAGTTATCACACAGAGAACGTCTGGAACCCTGGGAGGCAATAAATATACATATATAGTAATGAGCAAACATAAATAATAAACGGAAAAAGGATTCCTTAAACAAAAGACTGAATAATACTGAATATATCAACAGAGAATAAACAATGGAGTAATAAATGACATTAAATAGTAAAAATCAAGACAATAGATCACAGGATAATAAATAATATGTGAGAGAAAAATGTGAGCTGTTACTTATCTTTTGAGCAGCAAAGAAAGAGGGAAATGGAAGGGAAGTGCTGCCTATTATACTGGGACCTGTGCAGGGAGGGGCCTATGCTACTGTATGTTCATTGTTTTTTCATTCTGTTTGTATACTTTGCTGCTATTGGTGGACAGTAAAGAAAGGGATATGCAATATGAGCCAACGTGTCTTGTGATAAAATTCATAATTCTCACACTGTGGAATTTCATTCACATTCTTTAACGGTTGCAAACCCTTTAGCTGTGGAAAGATTGTTTGATAGTTCTTAGACAAAGAAAACATTCCTATCCCTTATAATTTGCCTAACTGAGATTCTGAGATTTTATTGCACTGGGGAAATGATTCATTGCAGAGTATTTTTGGACTATATTGTTAAGCAATCATTTGGGGTTGTTATTCTATTTACAACACCCATAACATATGCTAAGCGGGAAGCAGTGATAATTTCACCACATTTATATTCAGTAATAATTAGAACTCTGAATATAGTGTTCCATAAATTAATTCTGATTGTACAGATTTTAGAATACTTCCAGAGCAATTCTTGATCAAAATAAGACCTGCTGATATCTTGTGGTTAATTTAGTACAGGAAAACCAGAATTGTTCAGGCTCTGTTATTTTCAGGACCTAAGCGTTGCTTGGGGGGAGCTTTGGGGGCGCACGCACCGGATATGGGACTTTTTATTTTTAAATTTGCATTAAGCAGATCACTGATATAAATGATATAGTGCTTGTCTGGCTACTAAGGGAGATCAGGTGATGTGCTCCAAGTGTCTATCATGAGGGTTTGCTGGAGAAAACAACGCTGTTGTCTTCCTCTCAGTTAGGTAGCATGGGAGGATCTCTTTGAGTACGTGGATGTCCAGTAAATGCTTGTTTCAGGCTATGCTTTCATTGAGATCCAGGAGAGCATCAGCATCACATTGTTTATGGGTAGAGAGATGACATACCTCACCTTTCGTTTTTTCTTAGGGTAGTAACCTCACCTTTCACTTAGGGTAGTTATGTCTCTGCATCAGGATATTTTTAAATGATCACCAAATAAACAATACGGGTTTTTAGTAGAGAATGTTTTAAGAGACTAACATGTTTATACATTGAATGTTGTGCGGCTTTATCTGATGGTAATATTACATATGGTTAGTTTTGCTTAAAGTAAATCTAACCCATTTTATTTGTTTAGTATGTGTGTTATCACCCTCCCTGCTGTGAGTTTTTTATTCCATATCTCTT